GGGGAAGCTGGGTCGGCAGGTGCTGCCGCCCTCGGAGCTTCTTGACCATCTCTTCTTCCATTATGAGTTCCAGAACCAGCGCTTCTCCGCTGAGGTGCTTGGCTCCCTACGCCAGCTCAATTTAGCGGGTGTGCGCATGACACCCCTCAAGTGCACGGTGGTAGCCGCTGTACTGGGAAGTGGAAAGCACCCTCTGGATGAGGTGAATTTGGCTTCCTGCCAGCTGGACCCTGCTGGGCTGCGTACTCTGAGGCCTGTCTTCCTGCGCGCCCGGAAACTGGGGTGAGGACCAATTGTTATGCACAGACCTAAAGGAAGGAGAGGGTTGGAGGAGAGGCAGTAAAGAGGCTAAAGGAATGAAGAAGGGCCAGGGGACATGTTGGAGCCTGCTTTCTGTTGCTGTAACAATGCCCAAGGCTAGGTACTTCATAAAGAAAAGAGGTCTTCCAGGCAACACATGCCTGTAATCCCAGCATTCAAAAGTGTAGGCAGGAAGAGTGCTGTGAGTTTGAGTCCAGCCTGAACTGCACAGTGATTTCCAGGCCGGCCTGGGATGTGTAAGACCTTGTCTCAAGAAGAAGGAGGAGGGGAGAGAGGAGTTTACAGTTTTGGAGGCTGGAAAGCTATCCATGGGTTCATCTTCTGGTGAAGCTCCCTGAGGCTGCGGTTGAACATGGCAGAAGAGTAGAGAGGGAGACAGCTGCAGGTGGAGAAGGCCCTGCAGGCACATGGAGAGGCCTTGCTGTATAACAACCCACTGTGTTAGGAACCGAAGCCCTCCTACCTGTTCCTCAAACAAGGCTCCATTTCTCAAGGGCTCTGCCATCCTGCAGTACAATCACAAACACCCACCTCATGTCCCTTGACATAGCAGACCACAGCAGGGCAGGATGGAGAAGGTGTAGGCCACGGGAGGGAAGGAAAGTGTGGGTGGCAGGAAACAGGCTGGTGAGGAAGGGGCACAGTCTGTGAGAAGACCGCATGCTGAACTGCTTTCTTGGTCTCTTGCTTCCCCACTCTTGCCACCTTCTGCTCCAGGTTGCAACTCAACAATCTGGGCCCTGAGGCCTGCAGGGACCTCCGAGACCTGCTGTTACATGACCAATGCCAGATCACCACTCTCCGGTGAGTGTCCTAGCAGGTGGGAGACTTTGGCCCTTCTGATGGCCTCTGACATGGTGAGCACCATAGCTGCCCTGGCTCTAGTAAAGTGTCTGGACCCTGGCTGACCTCCTGCCTAGGTCCATTACAAGCATCAGAAAGGAGCAAGGCGGTGTGGCACACGACCTTAACTCCAGCACTAGGGAGGCAAAGAGAAGCAGATATCTGAGTTCAAGGTCAGCCTGGTCTGTAGAGCAAATTCTAGGACAGCCAGGGCTACACAGAGAAACCATGTCTCAAAAAAAAAATCAAACAAACAAAAATAAATGTGAGGAAAGGAGCAAGGAAGATACCAGGAGTGGGTGCTAAGAAAGCCTTCCTTTTGCTAATATCAGCCTGGGGGACAGGAAAGCTGCAGTAATTCCTGGCCCAGTTGCCTGGCAACAAAGCCACTGATCCCTACAGATTCACCATAATGCTGGGTACTCTCTAGTCGCTCCCAAGGTGTTGGCTTATTTCCTGGGAACCCAGATGCCTGACAGGGTCCCCGTTTCTGATTAGAAGTAGGAGAGGTGAATGAGGAAGAAGGAAGGATGGCTGAAGGGGACCCCTGGTGAGATGGCTCTGACGAAAAATTGAGTTTAATCCCCAGGACCGACATATTGGTTGGAAGGAAAGAACCAGTTCCCACAATTTGTCCTCTAACCTCTACAGCAACCCTCCCCCCCACTTCACCCCTACAGGCATACATGCACAAAACAAGGTTTTTTGTTTTTTGTTTTTTGTTTTTTTTTTAATGAAAAGGGTAGTGGAGGCAGAAAGATGGTGTAAGCAGAGAGGAGGGAGGACCAAAGGCTGATGACGCTGAAAAGGAAGGTGTAGGAAGGGGACTAATAGGGAAAGAAGAGTGAATGGAGAAGGGAGAGTTAGAGCAATAGAAAAGAGGGAGAAGAGGAAACCTGCTCTCCCCCACTCTCCCTCCTGAGCAGGAGCCACTCCTCATTTTCCCGTCCCTTTGCCTGGGTCTCATTTCCATGTCCAGGCAGGCCCCCAACCCAGATGTGCTGGCTTGGGTATCTACCATGCCCCCCCCCCTTGCCATGCTGTGGCCTGTAGGCTGTCCAACAATCCACTGACAGCAGCGGGGGTCGCCTTGCTGATGGAGGGGCTGGCGGGGAACACCTCGCTGACACACCTGTCCCTGCTGCACACCGACCTCGGAGATGAAGGACTGGAGCTGCTGGCTACCCAGCTAGACCGCAACAGACAGCTGCAGGAGCTGAACGTAGCCTACAATGGTGCTGGAGACACAGTGGCTCTGGCCCTGGCTAAGGCTGCTCGGGAGCACCCTTCCCTGGAGCTGCTGCAGTAAGTCCTCCCCCTGGTCTCATGCCCCCGGGCCCCGAAGCCCACTTTTTCCCTTTCTTCGCCACATTCTTCCTACCCATGGGATGCTCTGGACTTGAGCCTGCTGTCTGCTCTCCCTTTCTGATCCTGGTTTACCGAATGCCGAGCCAGCCTAAGTCCCTTACCCTGCTTTGATTTCCTATCACCATTTCTCCCAGGGACTACTGTCTCTGGTCACACTACAAATTTCCTTCGGCTTCTACCTCCATTTCTAGCTTATTGCAGTTTTTTTGTTTGTTTGTTTGTTTGTTTGTTTGTGATGCTAGGGTGTGAACCCAGGGCCTTGTGCATGCTAAGCACCTGAGCTGCAGCCCCAGATCTTATTACAGACCCTTGTCCCCTCCCATTCAGCATCCTGAAGGGAGTTATCAGGCTTCCTTGCTCTCTGCTTATCCAGCTTGGGCCTTTCTTCTTAAAACCCTGATGAATGATCTCCTCCCATCTCTTTCCCACCAGCCTCTACTTCAATGAGCTGAGTTCAGAGGGCCGCCAGGTCCTGAGGGACTTGGGGGGCTCTGGCGAAGGCGGTGCCCGGGTTGTGGCCTCGCTGACAGAGGGGGCAGCAGTGTCTGAGTACTGGTCGGTGATCCTTAGTGAAGTCCAGCGCAACCTCAACAGCTGGGACCCGGTCCGGGTCCAGAGCCATCTCAAGATGCTGCTCCGGGATCTGGAAGATAGCAGAGGTGCCACCCTTAATCCTTGGCGCAAGGCTCAGCTGCTTCGAGTGGAAAGCGAGGTCAAGACCCTTCTGGAGCAGCTGGGAGGCTCTGCACACTGAGAAAGTGACAGCTGTGACCTAGCTATGGGACCACTGGCCTCCACTGTGGCTTCCTGGCTTGCACAACTCCTTCCAGGAAGGCCCCTCTGGTTCTGCAATCAAAGTAATGGTACAACTATGCTGTCCCTACCCCCAAGAAGTCCGGTCAGGACCCCAATCCTAGAATTTCCAAGGTCAAATATGGTGGATTGATGCTTGGACTTGGATATAGAGCATGTAGCCTTCCCCTTTGCCAAGAAGGACTAAGGACATGGCATGTGAGTGCCTCCGCTGCCAGTCTGCCCCTCCCTCCTCTGATTGTGTTACCAAAGGCCTTGCCTCTCGTGTTTGCCATGCTGGGGGTTCTGCCATCCAGCAGGTGTACTGAAGGGCTTCCCGTTCCTGCCTTATGCTCACCTCTGGACACAAAATGCCCTCACATTGGTGCTTTTCCCAGTCTCATGTTCCTTCACGTGGACAGGTATTGATGGCACAAGTGTGCTCGCCTTGCTGCTATTAAAAAGCTGTGTGTCTTCCACCCCTGTGGTTTCCTCTTCCTTGCCTGGTGCTTCCAAGAAAGGGCCAGTATACTTTCTCTTCTACTGAAGATGGTTCCTGGCCACTAGACTCAGAGTACTGCTGGAGATTTCAGTACCGTAGCCTGGGCTCTGGCATCCCTGTCAAGCAGAGCTCTGCCACTCATCCTCCATAAGCTATCTAAGAAGACAACAGTGAAGAAGCAGAGAAGGGCTGGCTCAGCAGGTTCAGACACTCAGTGCTCCTCCAGGGGACAGGAGTTGAATTGGCAGTAGACACATAGTGGGGAAGCTCACAACCCCTCCAGCTCCGGGGGATCCAACCCCCTCTCCTGGCCTCTATGGAGCATCTGCACCTCCTCTCTGTCTCTGTCTCTCCTGTCACTCTCTGGCTCACACATTCGAGCAAACACACACACACACACATATACACAGATATGCACACACATTCACAATACACAAACACACACACAGAGTAATTTTTTTTTTTTTAAATAGCAAAGCAGAGAAAAAATTGTTTGAGGTGGCCACATCTGGAATAGGAAGAAATGAAGAGGTTTGGTGACCCTCCCACCCACAAAGCCTGACCTAGGATTTAGGTTCAAATATAGCATAGGGCAAGAGGTATGTGAACTGGGCAGTTCTGTCAGGGCGTGGTCTAGAACCACTGATGAAGTGTCTCTGCTCCAGTCTGTCCAGCTGGCTGGTCTGACAAATTGTCAGAACTGTGTGAAATCTCTTCTTGGGAGACAAGTTCTGGCGGGCATCAGGACTTCATCTTTTCTCTTTCCCTAGTTTAAGATTCTTGGAGAAATTCCAGTTCTTTGGGATCCATTGTTTGACTAGTCTGATAGGCAGAGGGAGAGTCCCAAATATCTTTCGATAACTTTGCTGCTGGAGGGGCTGTGTGTAAAACCCTGGGTTAAGGTTGTTCGTGCTGGGCCTTAGAATTCCTATCACTCTTTCCATACTTTCTTCCCCCAGTCTGGGATTACAGTGACCAGTGATCTGTCCTTTCTGTGCGTAAGAACAACTGAGTCAGTTAGAGGTGCTCTCAAGACAGGTAGGGCTCAGGGCTGGGGGCAGAAGGAACTTATGCACATACTTTCCAGAGCATAAGTCCCGTTGCTGTTAACCATTACCCCATTGCTTCCTTGCAGCGTCTTCAAGGAGGCGTGACCCGGGAGGGCGCAGGTGGGAGGGTCACCTGGTGTGAACCTTGCCCCTGCTCTCAAGTCCTGGGTCGCTAATCCAGCTATGGAGGCAGCTGCAGGTAGGAAGTGGGGAGATAGCTTCCAAAGGGGACTTTGGGGTGGCGACAGAGGGGCCAGGTTTGGAATCTTTGGGACAAGGACACACTGGCTATTGTGGCTTTTAGCCCTGAGGCAAATAGAGGTGAGCTTCTATGTCTAGGTTCCTGGTCCACACCCTGCACTGATAGGCTCAGATTTATGTGCCACAGAACTGGGGGGTGGGGGAGCAAAGGAGGGTCAACAGCCCTGTGTGTGTGTGTGTGTGTGTGTGTGTGTGTGTGTGTGTGTGTGAAGATAGCGAAACAGAATAGGAGGGGTTTGGGGGTCTCCTAAGCCCTTTCAGTTTTATTTTGTTTTTTTTTTTGGGGGGGGCAGTGTGACTCTACCTTTACCCCTCCTTTGTCCAGCAGATCTTCGAGACACGGCCTTGTTAACTCTGTAAGTAGAAGGAAGGTCGGGGAAGAAGATTGAAGGTGGGGAAGCTCTCAGCTGTCGTCAGCACCTAACGTAGAAGCTGGGACCCAAGTCCAGCTATGACCGTCTCTAACTTGCCTCTCCTGCCTCCTTACAGGAAGTTTAAGTTTAATCCAAGGCTGGGCATTGACAATCCTGTCCTCTCCCTGGCTGAAGACGAGGACCAATCTGGTAACCCTCTCACCCCTGGCAACTGCTACCTTTCCCTAGAGACACTACAGCTCCACACAGCCTCCTATCTCCTTGGTAACCACTAACTGCCTCCGTCTGATATCAGTAACTAAGTAGAGGCAGAGGGGGCAGCTCTCCCTTTGCTTTAGTCACTGTGCAGTGTTTATTCAGCTATAAAGCCCACCCTCTCACTGCGTGGGAGCTGCCCAGCACTCTGACAGGAGGCAGGGGCTCCCAGTCATCTGATGCTCCTGTACCTGGCCTGTGTCACCCCCTCTTTCTTTTTGGCCATCTACTTCCTCCCCCAGATCCCTGGAACCAGCACCGGCCTCGCTTCTGTCTGCTGAGCAAAGAGGAGGAAAAGAATTTTGGGTTCCATCTGCAGCAGCAGCTGGGCAAAGCTGAGCACGTGGTGTGCAGGGTGGACCCCGGCACCTCCGCCCAGCGCCAGGGTCTCCGGGAAGGAGACCGGATCCTGGCGGTGAACAATAACGTCGTGGCACACGAGGACTATGCTGTGGTGAGGTTGGGCTGAGACTCCTTGTGGTACAAAAGAACATTCCGTAGCTCTTCAGAGAGGAAAAGCAGCCTGGTACTTGCCTGGACCACTCACTCTCCCAAGCCTCACTCTCCCAAGACCCCATGATTTGGAGGTACCTAGCTAGAAGGACTGGGTGAAGGCACCTGCAGAGGTGGTTTCTACAGTGAAAATGCACGTTCTAGGGAATCCTGGAATTTAGGGGCCAACCTCTCTCCTTCCCGTGTGCCCTTTTATAGGTAGTACGCCACATCCGGGCCAGCGGTCCCCGGGTCTTGCTGACAGTCTTGGCACAACATGTGCACGAAGTAGTACGAGCACAGCAGGGGAGCGATGCTTTCCTCTGCCCTACCCTAGGCTCTCGGGTCAGGCCCCGGTTGTGCCATGTGGTAAAAGATGAAGGTGGCTTTGGCTTCGGCATCACCCATGGTGAGCTTAGGGCCCAAGATGGGGTGGGCAGCTCAGCTTCTGTTCTAGGCAGGCAGCACTCTGGGACTTACTTCTTCTGCCTTTAGGAGCTCAGGGTCCTTTCTGGCTGGTGCTCAGTGCAGGAGGAGCTGCAGAGAGGGCAGGGGTGCCCCCTGGGGCCCGACTGCTAGAAGTGAACGGGGTCAGTGTGGAGAAGTTCACTTCCAGCCAGCTCAATAGGAAGGTAGGGCTTCCTGCCGTGGCCTCTGACCTGAGGCTCTGTATGTGTTACCCCTCTTCTTTTCTCTATAGTTGGTGTGATGTTTGCTCTCATTCCTGGGCCTGGGGGGAGGGGCTGAGGAGATAAATGTCTTCCCATCCCCACATAGGTGGCTGATGCTTAGGGTCTTGCTCTGTCCTCACAGCTTTGGCAGAGTGGAGATCAGGTGACTCTGCTGGTGGCAGGGCCTGAGGTAGAGGAACAGTGTCACCAACTGAAAATGCCTCTTGCTGCACCACTGGCAGAGGGCTGGGCACTGCCCGCTAGGCCCCGATGTCTAAACATAGAGAGAGGACCTCAAGGCTTTGGGTTCCTGCTCCGGGAGGAGAAGGGCCCGGATGGTCGCCTCGGTGAGTGGCAGCCCAGGAGGTGGGTAGAAAACTGGGCCTTAGGTTGGTCATACATATCCAATTGCATGCTTCTCGGTGTCCATGAGAAGTGTTCTCCCCCCCCCCCCCTTGGCATCCTCCCATGTACTATGGGGTTAGTCCCTGGAAAAGCTTGGAGGGGGGGTGAGTCAGAGAGGAGCAGTCAATATGTCTGTGTCCCAGGGCAGTTCTTGTGGGAGGTGGATCCAGGACTGCCAGCTGACAAGGCTGGGATGAAGGCTGGAGACCGCCTGGTGGCTGTGGCTGGGGAAAGCGTGGATGGGCTGGGCCATGAGGAAACAGTGTCTTTGATCCGAGCACAGGGCTCCTGTGTCTCCCTCATTGTCGTCGACCCTGAGGCTGACCGCTTCTTCAGCATGGTGCGCAAGTGACAGGGCTGGAGGGGAGGGCGGGAATGGAGCAGGGCTTAGATGCCACAGGTTTGCTCTATCTGCTCCCCCCACCCCCTCCAGGTACGCCTGTCCCCCCTTCTCTTCTTGGAGAATGCAGAGACTGCTGCTTCTCCTCTGGCAGAAACCAAGGATCTTCCCATTGAAGACACAGTTGAATCTTCTGGCCTTGCTGACTCCCGCCAATGCTTCTTGTACCCGGGGCTGGGAGGTGGCTATGGATTCAGACTCTGCCGTGTGGCTGGTGTGCCTTATCTATTCATCTCCCAGGTGACTGATGCTCTGTGTGCTTTGGAATCTTTCCATCGTTTACCACCTTCCTTCCTCTGCAAACCCCCCCACCCCATCTTCCCAGCCTTAGAACAGACTGACACTTCTTGTGTCCTCCTACATTGCCAGGTGACTCCAGGAGGCTCAGCTGCCCGGGCAGGGCTGCAAATAGGAGATGCAGTTTTGGAGGTGAACAGATATCCTGTGGGTGGAGACAATGACCTAGACTGGCTTCAGCAGCTGGCCGAGGCTGAGCCACCCCTCTGCCTGAAGCTGGCAGCTAGGAAACCAGAGGACTTGAAAGCCTGGATTTCCTCGAAGTCTGAGCAGGTGAAGTCAAAGAGACAAATTTGGAACTATGAGGATGGCAGAGAGGAGGGCTGCTGGGTAGAGCTGTATGGGGTGTGCAGGAGGGACATAGGAAGTGGGTGCAGAAGGATCCATGGACCAAGTTCCGTTCCTGAACAGTCAGAGCATGGTGGGGCAGGAAAGTGGACTGTTCTGGTCCCAGACTGACTCCCGTTCCTCTCTGTGCAGGACTGGACTGTGGCTTCAGAGTTGCTATAGGACACCCCTGCTTGGCATAGACTTGCCTAGTGACTCTTACGCCATTGCTCTGCACCCTGAGGGGGAGGGAGCCAGGAAAGGTCTCTCCCAGCTGGAAGCGGGAACTGGAGGATTCAGACGCCACTGATCACAGTACTGCCAGGGGCCTTCTTCCTTGCTCATGAGCCTACCTCCAGCAGAGGGGTATGGACAGAACCTCAATGGGGAGCCTGAGTCTCCATTGGCTGTTATGTGGAAGTTTTCAGGAGGTTCACCCCTCCTGTCCTAAAGATGAAGTTCTGCCCAAGAAGGTGAAGCTGTGGAGCCACTTAGGATTGAGGCCATTGAGAACTTAGGCTAGGTATGACTCCACTATCACATGGCACAAGGATTGGAACCATATCTTCCTTCTGCGGACATCTTAGAATCTTGGGAGCATGTTCCTGGCCACTGTCATCATGTTACAGCCTTCGAGGTTGGCTGGTGAGTTGGCTCTGTAGGTAAAGGTGCTGGCTACTAAGCCTGACAGCCTGAGTTCAGTCCCCAGAACCACATGGTAGAAGGAGAGCCAACTCCTGGAAGTTATCCTCTGAGCTCTCTTTATGTGAGCACCTTAGAATGCCACCGTCCAAATAAATAAATACACACACACACACACACACAGACAAATCTGGCTTTGTTTTTTTGTTGGTCAGGATAAGCCAAGGTAGCTTAAAGGGACCAAAGTGCTCCATGCTTAAGGGAATGGGATCTAGTAGAACCTTGTTTATCTCTTATCATCCAGTGTTTAGGACAATGGGTTAGCCTAGAACATAGATGTCCTCTCGACAGCAATTTCTCACTGCCCAAAGCCACAATCCACAGTTCTATTGAATTCTACATCAAGTTGCTTTATTGATAGGCCTCGGAGATTAGAAGCCTCAAAGATCCAGGGGGTTGAGACCAAAGTGACGCAGCTGCTCCTTGTGCCTGGCATGGAGTTTCAGCACAGCAGCATCCCACTGAGGCTTGACCACTCTCAGCTTGGCCAAGAGACAGTCCAGGGTGTCCTGTAAGCACCAAGAGTTCAGCTTCCAGGGAGAGAGGAAAGGGTGAATGTTGCTGCAAGTTGCCTAGCTTGGTTAGTAAGAGTTCTTTGCCAAAAGCTCCTTCCTTCCTTCCTATTTTCCTTCCTTCCCTCCTTCCTTTTAAAAGATATTCTTGCTTTGTAGTCCAGGCTGCCTTTGCGCTCATAATTCCCCTGCCTCAGCTTCCTAAGTGCTAGATTGCAAGCATGAACCACCATGCCTGGTTGCCTATTGTTTTTCTCTCTCTTTTTCTTTCTTCAGCATATGAGGAGTCACAGATGCTAGGTGAGCACCCGGTCACTGAGCTCTACATCCAGTCCACTTTTTACTTTTCATTTTGAGATGTACTTTCTTACTACACTGCCTATGCTCGTCTTGAACTCTGTACCTAGGTTGGCCTTGAATTTACAATAGTTCTGTGTCAGCCTTCTGAGTAGCAGTATTACAAGCCTGTGCTACTTCTTTTCTTCCCATCTTCGGCCAGAGCTCTACCATCAGCCTATATGGCTATCCTCTGATTATTTTGAGTCTAGGTCTCACTGTGTAGCAGTTACACAGTACACTGTAGCCCATGTTGGCCTTGAAGTTGAAATCTTCCTGCCTTAGCCACGCAAGTACTGGGATTACAAGTCACTGGCTCTGTCAATGGTTGTGCCTTCTTTATGCTTAGGCTAAAGCATGGCTTCCTTGGGTTGTTGTCATTACACTAGTTGGGGGCATAGGGATGGAGGGCTATCAGCTACCTAGAAGATAGCCTCCAGGAAGCGGTGCTTACATGCAAGACTTCCTCATATTTGGCCTCCATGTCTGCCACATGGGCACGAAGCTGAGCCAGGGTTCCATCTTGTTCTCTGAGGGCTTGCTCAGCCTCCTCCTTTGCTGTCTTAGCTTCCCTTTGGCACGTTTCTAGGGATCAGAAGGATAAAGTTAGACAGGATAGTGACGTTATACCAAGAACAACAGTAACTAAAGGCACCTGGAAAGGACACCTTTACAGAGGCTGTTACAGGGTCCCAGGGTCGTCAACTTTCTTGAAGTCTCTAAAGACTCACTGAGAGCCGGGCATGGTGGCACATGCCTGTAATCCCAGCACTCAGGGAGGCAGAGGCAGACAGATCTCTGTGAGTTCGAGGCCGGCCTGGTCTACAAAGCAAGTCCAAGACAGCCAAGGCTACACAGAGAAACCCTGTCTTGAAAAACAAACAAACAAACAAACAAACAAACAAACAAACAAACAAACAAACAGACTGAGCTACAGCAGTGGCAGGATGAGTAGAGGCGTGGGACAGTCTGATGTCTATTTCTTATACAGAGGAGGAGACTCCCTGAGACTCCATGTCTTGACTGTTTGGCTTTGTTTTGCTTAAGATGGGATCTTATGTAGCTCAGGCTGGCCTTAAATTCTTCAACCTTGAAATCCAGATCATCTTGCCCCTACCTTTCACCACTGGGATTACAGACTTGTATCACCTCACATGGTTCAGTTTTTCTTTTTACCTTCATACATTTAGTTTTTATATATGGATTTTAAAAACATTTTATTTTGTTTCTCTCCCTTCTTCCTCCCTCCCTCTTGGTGTGTATGTGTGTGTAGGTGACTGTGGGGGTCAGAAGAAGGCATTAGATCCCCTCGGGCTGGAGTTATAGATGGTTGTGAACCAGTGCTCCTAAGGACTGAGCCAACTCTCATAGAGGCCAACTTTAACCCCTAACATAGAGGTTTGTGCCACTGAAGTCTCAGAGGCAAGTTCGGGTGAAGGTGACCCTAGTTAAAATTCAACCAACAGATGTGGGCATCTGGAGAAGTCCCTTCCACGCTGGACCTGTCAGTGAGCTTGGGAAGGAGACTACCCAGCTGCTGCCGTAGACCTCTCACTTCCTCTTCCAGCTGCTTGCTTCGGGTCCCCAGCTCCTCTCGCAGGGCTCGATGCTGGCGGCTCAGCTCTGTGGTGGGAGCAATAGGCAGCAGGAACCCAGGGGCAAGTCTCAGTCAAGGGACAGAGCTAAGAAACTTGGGAGACCTTGAAAATTTGAGGGATAGGAAACTAGACCCCCTCCCCCATCCCAGCTTAGGAGGGGGGATTCTGGACCTTTCCTCCCACTCACTCCCAAAGATTAAAAAGATAAGGGCTGTGGCTGCATTTTGTGCATTAGACATTCTATAATGTGGTGATCCTCATTCCATCAGGGATCTATCTTTAGCTGTCAGGATCTTGCCTGTGCTGCGAAGGTAGAGAGTAGGTACAACAGTTGGAATCCCTCTTCATTTCCCTTCTTTGAACTCCCTGGCTCTCTTGGTTGGCCTCTTCCAGGCACCTGTCTCCTACCCACTTGATCAATCAGTCAAACACACCTGCATATACAGCCTTTCCTTCACTCTGGGCTTTTTCCAGTTCCGCTTCCAGGCCCTGTAACCTCTGCTTAAGCCTGTCTTCAGAAGCCTTGGCTCGGCGAGCCTCCTCCCTCTGTAGAGCTGTGAAGAGCATCAGAGCCGTGCTCAGGTCTGGCTTAGGCTCTCACAGAATCAATCACCATAACCTCGATGAACTTGCTTATCTCTGGGAAGTTGGTGGCAGGTGTCAACCTCTTAGGCATTGTCTCTTCCCGCCACCTCCTAAAACCCATGGAGTGTTCATTCCTAAGAAGTCAATATTCTCTCCATGTTCTGGCTACTTAAAGACAATGGCTTCCCTGAGCTGCAAGTTATCTCCATGGTAGACTACTTACCTATCATGGATGAGGTTGTGGTTCCATTCTCAGTGCCAGGGGGAGAAGAACATCTTCATGAATTGGCACTGCCTACCCCTTCCTTACAGTCTTTGCCAACAGAATGGCTGGCTTGGTTTAGCCCTGCACATGGTTCAACCTTCCAGTTTCCCAAGAACCCAGAAATGTTCCATGTGCCATATGCTGGATGCACAGTTTTATGTCAACTTGACACAAGCTAGAGTCATCAGAGAGGAGGGACCCTCACCTGAGAAAATGCCTCCATAAGATCTGGCTGTGGGCAAGCCTATAAGGCATTTTCTTAATTAGTGACTGGTGGGGAAGGCCCCTCCCATTGTGGGTGGTGCTATCCCTCAGCTGGTGGTCCTGGGTTCAATAAAAAAGAAGGTTGAGCTGCCTGGCACCATGGCTCACACCTGTAATCCTAACACTCAGGGAGGCAGAGGCAGGTGGATCTCTGTGAGTTCGAGGACAGCCAAGACGACACAGAGAAACCCTGTATCAAAAACCCAAGAAGAGGCTGGGTGGTGGTTGTACATGCTTTTAGTCCCAGCACTTAGGCAGAGGCAAGTGGATCTGTATGAGTTCGAGGCCAGCCTGGTCTACAGAGTGAGTTCCAGGACAGCCAGAGAAGACCTTTCTTGAAAAACCAAAACAAAAAACAAAAAGCAAGATGCGCAAGCCATAGGGAGCAAGACAGTAAGCAGCACCCCCCCCCCCAAGGCCTCTATCAGTTCTTGCCTCCCAGTTCCTGCCTTGTTTGAGTTCCTGTCCTGACTTCCTTCAATAATAAACAGTGCTTTGGAAATAAACCATCTCCTTGGTCATGGTGTTTTATCCCAGCAGTGATAACCCTGACTAGGACATGCCATGTCTGCTGGCTCCCAAGGCATCACACTTCTTACCCAGGTGGTCCTGAAGCAGCTCCTTCTCAAGCAGCACCAGCCTGTGCTTGGCCTCAGCCTCCGCACCTGTCCTGGCAAGACGATAGAGTCTTAGGGCGCCCTGATCTCACCCTCACCCCATCTTCCTCCCGCACCTGCACTTCTTCCTGTGTGATGGAGGAAGGTCACTGAGTGAGGGATGCGCAATGGCAAAGTCTGACAAATTCACAGCTGACTCTTCACCGCCTTGTACACGGTGGGTGCTCGAGAGGAGGGTGAAAACTATGATGAAGGCAAAGACTAGACAGGGCTCTCGGGGGAATTTGGGAGGGAGGCATTCTCCAGTAGCCCAGCCTGGTGGAATCTGGACTCAAGGCTCTGAAGAGGAGCGCATGAAAGCATCACCTTAGTCAAGTGTGGTGCCAATGCCTGTAATCCCAGCACTAGGAAGACTGGGGTAGGAGGATAGGTTTAGGGCTGCCTGGGTTCCATAGTGACCCTGTGCCAAAAAGACAAAAGAGAAAACCAAAACAAACCCAGTCCATCTTGTTGCCCAGGGAGCTGGATGCCCTCTGAGGACCTTTGTGTGGACTGTGGACATGGGCACGTGGGTGGACCACCCTTCATTCATGGTGACTCACCAGGACTCAAATTCTTCTTCTTCTGTGCCCCAGTTTTTCTTCCCTTTCCTTTGGTTTTAGGTGGCATCCTTGCTGTCCTGGCAGAAGGAAGACCTATGTGGGTCTGCAGAGGGACATTCTTTCCTGACTCCTACACTGAGCTGGGGGTTTCAGGTGCATCAGGATTCTAGTCTCACAGTGTATTTACACTTTTTGGAAGCTTCACATCTTGGTCTGGGAACCTTAGGCAGAGCTGGGATCAGAGAACAATGCTATGTTCAGTTCTCTTAGAGAAATCTCTGAACCTGTTCCCTTCTCTCCCCACAGCTTGCTTACCCTTCCTACCTGCAGGACCTTTTCTTGCTTGTGTGGTGTCTCCCTGGAGAAATGACATTCCAGGGGAGAAGGCAAAGAAAGACTCAAGCAGATTGAGCCTAGGGAGGAGCCTGGGTCCTGGGAGCCAATCCAGGATGGAAAACTTTCTCAAGAGGCAGGACCAAGAACTGGGATGTTGGGTTTCCAGAGACTGCAGGCATGTTGTCCAGGCAACTGGGAAACACAAGTGTTCATAGGCAGGTGGGTCAAAGGTCCTATAGGGAAGCTTCTCTTACGCCCAAACCCTAGCCCTAAAGAAGAGGATTTGGAGCTGAATAGCTATTCTTCATGTCTGTGCAGGCACTGCCTGAAGTCTGGAGACTCTCCAGTCTAGGAATCTAGAAATCTACAGACTGAGAGAACAGTGATTTAACAGACACAGAGGAAAGGCAAGGCTAGCAGCCATCACAGGTACTTTACATTCACAGGTCTCGTGAACACAGTGTCATTATTTACTTTAAAACTGAAGGTTTGCTTCAGAAATGCTATTGTGTGGGAGGGAAACATGTTCTGACACAGGTAGCTGAGTTTTCACTTAAAAGAAATGAGAACAGAAGAGAGGCAGAGCTGTGGACTTCAGGATGCTGTCCTAGAGAGAGAAAAGGGCTCAAATTAGGCGGTCATGAGTTCAGCTACTTAATTTTGCACAGCTTGGATTTCTTGGTGCCTAAGTTTTGTAGCTCCTGAAATCTCTAGACTTCAGTGGTGTGTTTACAGGACTCCCGGTCAATCTTGCCTTACTCCCCATTTTTCTTTAAGAGATTAATCTGTAGACAGGTATTTAGCAGCCCCCTGGCTCCCTGCATCATAGAGTTGGCTAGGGCGCCCTCTAGTGGACTTGATTGACTCCTGAGGTTTCTAAAATTTTGCAGTTTACTATTTCTTGGGCCATGTTGGGGGAGATTCCCTTTGGGGGATGCTTTCTAGCATCTTGTATATGATTTAAAAATTAACTGTGGGCGGAGAGTATGAGAGGTAGCTTGCTACTGCCCTCCTTCCAGCTGGGAGGGCTCCATCTGGAGCTGTGCCACGGTTGGGCATCATAACGCCATTAGATACAGAATGTAAACAAAAAGCCCTCAATCTTTGTAAGTTATGGGACCTACAGACTCCCTTAGGCCCTTCCGTCTATTCTAGTCCCTTAAATTTTCACCAGTTGCATAGTGTCAGAAGCAAATCTGCAGAAACAGATACAAGATGTGGGGGTAAATTCTTCTACCTATGTAGAGCAAGCTGAAGGTCAGTGAAGGTTTATTTAACGTCAGGGCACTTTAGATAGTTTAGAAAATATTGTTGTGGTTAAATTAAAGGTATGATGTAATAATGTTTGTTATTAGCCCTATAATTATTACGGCGGTATATCTAACCCACAATCACAATCAATAAAAGATACAGACGCCTGATAGATTTTACAATAGCCTTATCTTACCTGGAGCAGGGCAGATATTAACCCTCTAAACTGCCTTTACCTCCCAGCCCCGTCCCAGGCTACCTCCCATCCGTAATTCCATAAATACTTGCTTATTCTCCATCTGGGCCGCTTCCTCCATCCGTGCCGGCCATGTGCTTCTCTCCATGCTAAGCCATCTTGGCTCTCTCATTCCTTCCTTCCTCTTCTTCCTGTCTCTCTCTCTCTCCTGTGATCCTTCTGTCCCCAAAGCCCTCGAACCTGAGGCATGCCTAACTCCTTCTGCCCTGCCCAAGTATAGGCCTTTTAATAAGCCAATCAGGGATAATTGGGGAACATTGCTTCTCATCACATGGTTAGCTGGTTCAACATTATAGCATACCCATGACAGGTAGTGTCATGTATTCAAGGCACTGAAATCAGCATTTGAATTCATAGCACTAGACCAACCCCCAACAAAATATTTTTAATTTTAATTTTTAATTATGTTATATATGTGTGGGTTTTTGCATGTGAGTGCAGTGCCCAAAGAGGCTAGAAGAGAGCACTGGAGTCCCTGGAGTTGGAGTTGGAGTTACAAGTGGTTGTGAGCAGCCTATCAGTATGGTGCTGGGAACCAAACTCACATCCTCTGCAGGAGTGGTCTCTCCCCTTCCCTCTGCTTTCTCCTCCCTCTCCTTCTCCCCCCCCTTCTCCCATGCCTCACTCCGCCTCTCCATCTCCTTCTCCCCTTTCCTCCCCTTCTTTCCCTCCTCTTCTCCTCCTCTCCTCTCTCCCCATCCCTATCCCTCACTCTCTGTCTTGTTTTTTTTTTTTTTTTTTTTTTTTTTTTTTTGAGACAGGGCTTCTCTTCGTAGCCCTGGTTGTCCTGGACTCACTTTGTAGACCAGGCTGGCCTGGAACTCACAGACATCTGCCTGCCTCTGCCTTCCCGAGTGCTGGGATCACAGGCCTGCACCACTGTGCCCAGTACAGTGCTCGCTCTTAACTGCTGAGCCATGTCTCCAGCACTCACGCTGGACATTTTATAGAACAAAGGGAAGAGTTCTACTTGTTTCTGTGATACTGCCCCTATAACTTAGGGCTGGTGAGCCCCGTGCACACTTCCTGAATGTGGTGAACATCTTTCTTCTCATTTCTTCACCACGTTCTCATTTATTCTTCCTTCAGAATGTCCCTTCCCTGCCCTAGAACACAGTGAGAGTTTCTGCCCTTTCCTTCCCAGGAGTTTGTTTGGGACTTCTTTCCCTGGATCGCTGCCACTCATGTTGATGAGTGGAATGACACACTGAGGATAGAAATGACAGAACAGAAGCTGTACCCCATGCCTTAGAGGAGTATGTATTTTGAAAATATATTCAGTCAACTGACTCTCAGGTGCAGGAGCAGGATGTGGTTTGAGGTCAAGGTGAAGTAGAGTAAAAAGAGTACCAAGTGCCACATGATGAATTGGTCCTAATGTAACCAGAATAGGAATGCAATCCAACCCCGAGTTATCCCTGTTAAACTCCTTTCGGGAGCTAGAGAGATGGCTCAGTAGTTAACGCCGCTTGCTGCTTTTCCAGAAGACTCACTCATGGGCACACACTCATACAGATTATTAAAATCAACAGACACAAATCTTAAAAATTTGTATTACATTTATTTGTGTGTATGTGTGTATGTGTGTGTGTGTGTGTGTGTGTGTGCATGCTACAGAGCACATGTAAAGGTCAGAGGATAACTTGTGGGAGTTGGTTCTCCCCTTCCGTGTGGACCTTGGAATTGAACTCAGGTCATCAAGCTTGGCAGTGACACCATTACACACTACGCCATCTTGCTGGCTCCCTGTCTTCCTTTGAATAAGGTCTATCCAGGAGGGCTTTGTTTGTCTTTTGAGATCAGTCTCACTCTGACTGATCTGGAACTCACTTACAGATCAGAGCCTCTACCTCTGTCTCTTGAGGGCTGGGATGAGAGGTGTGCGGTACCGCGCCCTGATATAGACAAGTTTTGAGGAGCTGCCTGGGAAGGATGGTCACTCACTTTTATTCAGATATGAGATTGGTTATTTATATATTAATAGAAATATGGCCTGATCATATGACCCAGTGTTCTTGGCCTACAGCAGTGGTTCTCAACCTTCCTAATGCTGTGATTCTTTATTACAGCTTTTTTGTGTTTTGGTGACCTCAACCATAAAACTACTTTCTTTGCTAATTCCTAACTGTAATTTTGCTATTATTTTGAATTGAAATGTGAATATCTGTGTTTTCTGATGGCCTTAGATGATCCCTGTGGACCTCTTAGGTGACCATAGGTTGAGAACCACTGGCCTTCAGGAACTGTGAGCTGGGCAGAGTGACACACGTGAATAGTCCCAGCTACTTGGAAGGTTCTAGAAGGAGGCCCCTTTGACACAAAGATTTAATGTCAGCATGGAAAATAAAAGGGGGGGAGGGAGAAAAGAAAAAAAGAAAGCAACAGTTGCTTAGGATGAAGGGAGGATAAACAGTTTTCTTGGTTGCAGACATCTCTGACTGCACAGAAAGAATTATTATTAACTTACACGGGAGGAAGTCTGTTTGGATGTGGCCCACACATCTTGTTCTTTTTTTTTTTTTTTTTTTTTTTTTTACTTTTACATGGTTGGGGTGGGTTCAGCAAATATGTGTGAAGCACCAAGCCCAGGCCCTCACCTGAGGCTTTTTCTATGTCAGCAAAGGGTCCTGTCTTCTGGGAGAGAATAGATGGGCAGCAAAGGCTGCTGCAAGCCAGGGCAGGAAAGCTGCTACCGGGAGTGGAGAGCTTGTCTATTGCTGATGCCTGGAAGGGTTTAGAAGGGTGATTGCTAAGCCTGAAAGACTTGCTGGATGGGAGGAATTGGTCTGGTAAGGTTAGTGGAAGCAGGTGAGTGTGTGTGTGTGTGTGTGTGTGTGTGTGTGTGTGTGTGTGTGTTTATGTCATTCTGCGCAGGGGAGACAACTTTGCAAAGGCCTGGAGTTGTGGGACTCTCAAATCGCTGAAGCTAGAAAATTGTACCCATCTTATCTGGGCTGGATTCTGAGCTATTAAAAAATATAAAACACAGTAGTGGTTTTCATTTCCTCTCTTTGCGTCACTCTGGGAAAAAGAGCTCCTAGGCACTTGGCCACTGCTCTGATGGATGCATGAGGGGTATGGAGAAGTTAGGGGTATTGGGCCCTCTAAAGGCCAGGATGGCACTGCTGACCCCTGCCTGGGAGATAAAATAGGCTTTTAGTGTTCAGGTCATTGTCTTTTGTTCATTGTGATAGCTATGCTTCTCCCAGGAAATTAGCAGTAAAAGTCAATGGCAAAGCATCATGATGGGTGTGGAAGTTTCTGGCCAATCTTCCACCCTTCCCATGGTTAGAGGAGAGCTAGCTGCCTCCAAAGGAGCAGGCAGTGAGGATTCTGGGACAGAAATGACACTGGGATTAGATGCAGCTCTTGGTGATACTATGCCAAAGTAAATTTAATTTTTTAATTTTATGTACTTTGGCATTTTTCCTGCATGCATGACTATGTGAGAGTATCAGTTCTCCAGAAAATGAAGTTACAGACAATTGGGAGCTGCCATGTGGGTGCTAGGAATTGGACCCTGGTCCTCTACAAAGCGAGTCCAGGACAGCCAAGGCTATGCAGAAAAAAACCTGTCTCAAAAAACAAAACAAACAAAAATAAAACAAAACACTCTCCCCTCAAAAAAAAAAAAAAAAAAAGCAAGAAAGAAAAGATTGTGACTGTTAATTTTATTATAGAAGCAACCACAGGGAGGGTTTATAGGTTTAGTTTGTGTGTGTGTTTCTGACAGGCTGCACTTTAGGAAGGACAGAAGGAAGGCTTACAACTAGGGAGGCAACACAGGCATGACAGAGTTTTGACAGAAATTGTAGAGTATTGCCTAGATTTTTCTTTGGCAGATTCTTCTATTGTTTTCTAGGTAAAAAATGGCAAAAAGCTGGGTCTAGTGGCCCACACCTTTGATCCCAGCACTCAGGAGGCAGAGGCAGGGGGATCTTGGTGAGTTTATGGCCAGTCTGGCCTACATAGAGAGTTCCAGCATATCCAGGACTACACAGAGAAACCCTGTCTCAAAATAACAACCCCACTGCCATCACCACCAACAAACCCAAAACAAAGTGATAAAAGAGCAGTCTACTGACAGGAAATGGTCATAAAGATTCAGAAATGTCTTAGATAAAGATGATTGATTTGCAAACTGAAGTTGTGTGACAGAATAGCTCTGAAGTTCGGGGACATTTTCCTCTCCTGAAGTACTGGATACACTCAACAACCCAACAGCCAGGGGCTTGGTGGTTGAGCCAAGAGAGAGATATAGGTTGGAACTGAGTACTTTAATGGCACCACAGGGCTTTAGAACTAAAAAAAAAAAAAAAAAAAAAAAAGTGATTAGCAAATCAAGGCAGGACACTTCCTTCTTTGGAAAAGAAGTTCCTATTTTCAAAGTTCTTCCAAAGAGCCTGAAGATTAGGGAACCGGAGGTGACAGAGATCTAAATTTTTGTTGCCTGTGTGCAAGTGGCCAGGGCTCACAGCTGTCTCATAGCTTCTGTGGGTGGGTCCTCGTGCTGGCAGTGCTTTCCGCTGAGCAATAAAATTTTTAAAGGACATATTCAGCTCTCAGAAAAGGAACTACTCTTCAGAAAGAAAAAGACTAAAAGGAAGTTATTTGTTTAAAAAAGGTTAAATGGCCTGGAAGAAACACTTGAGACGGGAGTCCCCAAACCTTAAGCCTTTCTGGGGCCTAATCAGTCTGCAAAAAGCTTCAGCACACGTTTTCGACATTCTTCGCCCGTTATAAATACCAAAGAGTTGTGTTCCGCCCCCTCTCCCGCCCCCCAGGGTTTCTCTGTATAGCTCTGGCTGTCCTGGACTCCCTTTGTAGCAGAGGCTGGCTCGAACTCACAGAGATCCTCCTGCCTCTGCCTCCCTGAGTGCTGGGATTAAAGACCTGTGCCACCACACCTGGCCCAAGGAAATTTTTTTAATCCCAGCACTCGGGAGGTAGGCGCGTGTGAATCTCTATGAGTTCAAAGCCACCTATGCTGGTCAACACAGCAAGTTCCAAGGCAGCCGGGCTCCATGGTGAAACAAGATGGTGGTGTTGGGTTATAGCTCAAGGTGGAGTGGTTGACTAGGATGTGTGAGGTCGTAGGTTCAATTCCAAGCACCGTAAAAGTAAAAAAAAAAAAAAAAAACAAACAAAAAACAAAAACCAAACACTTAGAGGGTAGAAAGAGAACTTTGGCTTTCTCTATTATCACACAACATGAAGCAGATAACCCGAAGCTCAACTTCCACATTTGTCGGGAAGACGCCTTCCACCCCTACCTGTCTTAATCCGAGCGTATCAATCATATCAATGACTCACTCCTAGAGGCAGCAAGCCCAGTACGCGAAGAACATGGACGGAAAGGCTTCTGCCTAGTGCGCAGGTTCTACCTTGGACCCCACCTCTCTCCTCCCATTCCCCGCTTCTCCAGCAGAGGGCGCTGGCACCGAGTTTCCTCTGGGCCCCGCCCCGGGTGGCCACGCCCCATCCCTGAGGGTCGGGGCGGAGCGGTGGGCGCGGAAACTCGATCGAGGCTTTCCGGGAGCCGCCGGGCACGCGGGTGCTCGCGAGGTCGCGCGCGAGTTGGGGGTCCCT